AATTAACCCTTAATAATACTATTAACTTGTATTTTAGTAAAACAAGTTAGATAACTTTTTTATATTATATATAGTAAGTGTAATTTAGATTATATAATATTTTCTTATTAATTGTTATAAATTTACAAAGTAGCATTAACTAGTGGTTAATTGAAATAATTAAATAAAGTATGCAATGAAGTGAAAACGATGAAAGACCTCCATACATTGAGGTCGTAACTTCGAGAGAGTCTTAGTATATACTTGTATTTCACAAATGGCGTAGTCATATGGTAATGGTAAAGAGCTGACGAAGACAAGTTAGAACAGTTACCCCAGTATTCACTATAAAAGTTAAATGACATCTGCCGTCTCAGTAAATGGGTGTCAGGGAGAATAGGAGAATCTTTGCTCCTGTTAAGGATGGTCATGATGATTTTATGGGGGGTGAAGGAACCTTCATTTTCAAATCCTCGATGGTATGGCCGAATCCAAAGCCCAAAGGTTACTAACTCATGTCCCAACACCGTAGACTTGTTATGGGTTTTTATCTTCTTTTGAGTGGAGAAGCTTTTGCAGGCTGATTAGATTAGGTTAAAATGGTATGGTTTAACAGAACTATCACATCCATACCAAAAAACCCAAGCCCCATACCAAGGAAAAAAAAAACGCAGAACTATCATAGATCAGTGGTGGTGTGACTGATGTGTATTGTTGACTAGATTTAAGAGTAAAAAAAAAAAGCTGATAATTTTTGAGCTGACACAAGAAAGAATAATTGCGGTTTCTACACTTCTACCCACCCCGCCCTGCTAAGCCCCAAAATCCGGGATACCACATGTGCATTTGCTTCATTTTGTGTCCCTCTCCTTATTTTCAGCTGCTCTTTTCCAAGTTTCTATTAAAAACACTCACCCTCGTACTAGTTAAGCAGATAGTGTATTTCCGATTTGTATTCATATGCTTGTCGCATATTGATAAGAGTTAATATATGGGTTGGGTTGAGTTGTGAGTTATTTAATGGATTATACATTGATTGATGAATTATATTGAATAAGTTTATAGGTTAATATGAATTTAAAAAACTAACTTATATATTAAACATATATTAACTCATGATTATATATATTATAACTAGCTCATATCGGGTATATATACACATAGGAAGGTTTTCTTTCTAACAATTAATTCCAATCAAACCATACTCGTAAAAAGTTCCATTGAAATGAAACTTGTTCCTAATATGTTCTACTGGTAGTGGATCTAGCTAGCTTGAATCTGATGAGAAATGGGATTCAAACGGCTTTTGCTTCCAAAATTCCCCTTGAAAAGAAGAGAATGATATGACCCCAAGCTCTTTTCTTTTCTTCTTAAAGAGGAGAAAACGAGGGGACATGAATAGTTATTTTCTTTCACCTAACAGTGCATAACCTAAGGGGAAAAGCCTGATTCGTACGTCCCAAAAGCCCGGCAACGATTTGGCCCTCGGATTTTCCCACACACCCACATCCCACGTACCTGCAAGTTGCGACTGTGATACATCCACTTCGATTTCAGAGGACCCCCCCGTCCCTCCTTTCTTTCACTTCACCCACCTGACCACCAAACAAAACAAGAATTTCTCTCACATACCCAACTATTTTTCAATGCATTTAAGGACATCTACTTTTATTTGTTGAGTACATACATAAATTTAAATCCTTGTTTTATGCCCATTGTGGGGTAGTCCTAGAAGAAGATAGAGGAGTATATATTATGCCTATTTGCGTAGGTCACCTTTTACTTCCTTGCCCTATGTAGAGTAGGGTAAACACCCGTATCCTGCACCAAAGATTGACTGACCCACATGACGACACCTTCAGATTCATTCAATTTAACCTCTCTATATAAAACCCACATGAACAAGAAGGTTCCTCACCAATTCTCTGCATTCCAAGTATCATACTTTGTCTCTTCTTTACATCTTCCCCAATGGATTATAGTTACTTGCCTACTGCTGCTAACACTAGCTCTTCCTCTTCTATGACTCGAGCAGGCACAACGGAGAAGAAGAAGGCCGGAAAAAGAAGCAGCGGCGCCAAAGGGACTATAAAGCTGTCCACTGATCCACAAAGTGTGGCTGCTAGGGAAAGGAGGCACAGAATCAGCGACCGATTTAAGATCCTGCAAAGCATGGTTCCTGGGGGGACGAAGATGGACACGGTGTCCATGCTGGACGAGGCAATTCACTACGTGAAGTTTCTCAAGACCCAGATATGGCTTCATCAGACCATGATGAACTTTGTCGACGATGATCCGGCCGCAGCTCTGTACTGTCCTAGTTCTCTTCCTTGTGATGATCTACAGAACTTTTACTCAACTGACAACTTGGTTACTGTAGCACAGCCGCCGCCGGCTCCGCTGCCGCCTTTGCCGGATTATGGGTTCCAAGGGGAGCAAAACTACATGCGCTACGATACTTACACGAACAATTAACTTGCTCCTCCTACTCGGATAATATATAAAAACTACAAAAAAAAAAAAAAAAAGGCTCCTCATTGGGAGGAGATATGTAATGTTGTTTAGAATATTTAGCAAATTTAAGGAATGTAAGTCTTGTCTTGCGTATCTTCAATCAAGTTAGGTGTAATTAACATAATGTTTTATTAATTTATGCATTCCTTACCAAAAAAACAGTTATTTGTAAAATTGGCCATGACATTATCACGAAATAGATTGATCGTCTCATCTACATTGGCATATTAATCAAAATTGAGTTTTTCTAGCATCTTACTTATATACAGGTTAATTGGTTTATTTATTATATATTTTAATTTTAATTAATATAAAAAATAAAAATTAATTTTAAGTTTAATAATTATATAATTAAATTTATTTAAATAATAATATTAAAATTAAATTAGTTTCTATATTTTTTATATAAATTAATATTAAAAAAATAAATACATTATCCTTGGGGCACAAATTACCTATCAAAATTTATTTGATTTTTGGAAACAAAAAATGAGTTTTAATAATGACCTTAACTTATAAAAGTATTTTAGCAAATAACATATGAAATACTGTTTTACAATTGGTACAAATGAAATATTTTATAATTATCTTTATAATTATTAATAATTATAAAATGTTTTATGAAGATATATGGTGGCTCAACTTTTTAGGTGAAACTATAGGCCGAACAAATTAATCAAAGGTTTGTCTTGTTCGGCTTTACATTTCATGCCTATATGGAGAAACGCGGTTATTTAATTAGCGTCTAAAAATTAACTTAAAGGTGATGGCAAAAAAGAGAAATCTAAAGGTGAATATGTTGAGGTGCTTTTTTTATGTCAAGAACGTTAGTATATATTTTGGTATCTTTTGAACCTTTGACGGGACCAAAATTAGTTTAATGCTTTTTCTTTTTCACTTTTGGGTTTCATCATCTTATTTTACTTTTTCTAAATTGATTTCGGTTTCGAGGTTGAAAAGGTCAATGGATCATTAATGTGCTACAATTTTTTTTTTTAATATTGGAAGTTTGGTGTTTTATATTACAAAAATTTTAAATTTTGATATTCATCTTAAATTTAAAATTTAAAATTAATAAGTAATAATTTGAGTAAATTTTTCTTATTCTAACGTGCCACAATTAATTTTTGCTATGTAATACAACTTTTGTTTCTTTTTTTCCTTTTTTTTTTCTTTCCTTGTTTGGCTATAGAAAGTAGGGATAAATATTTGAGTATAAGTCAGGTATAAGCTATTTTTGATATTTAATTAAAAAATTTTTAAGTATAATTTTTTGAATTTGATATTTATTTAAATATTTAAAAATCTATACTTGATATGTAACTCATCAAATATTAGGTAACTTATAAATATATATTTATGTACTTGATTTAAGAAAAAAAGAGATCTTATACTAATTGTTATTATTGTGTATTCATGTGTTTGACTTAAAATTTATTATTTAT